GTTGGAGAACCTGTTGCCCAATGACTTGACTCTATTCTTCAGGTACAAGGGCTCCCTGACCACCCCACCATGTTACGAGGCAGTCACATGGCTTGTATTTCATGACACCACTGACATTGGACTCAAACAGGTATTCAATCGTTGTTTCCTATTCTCTCGCATTGTATGGCAATTGTTATCAAACAGCAAATAAATTGATTAATACCTTAAAAACAATAGAAATATAACTCATGTTTGTAAAGGCCATTGAGAACAGCTATAAGTTATTAACATTAGTTTACCAAACACACTTGTTTTTACCCTGATAAAAATCATATTCTACATATACATTTGCTGTTTAGTGTGTGTCCTAAATATGTTTCAAATGATCCAGATCCAGAGCTTTCGGGAGTTAATGAACTCGGAGAAAGTGGTAATGAGTGACACATTCAGACAACTCCAGGCCCTCAACGAGAGGCGAGTGGAGGCGTCGCGACGGCTGAGCGATCCCATGACAGGCGCCGCAACACATGTCGATCGCAATCATCTCTTAACACATCTCTCGTTAATAGTCTCTAGTCTTCTCATTATTACCAAATATTAGACATCAAAACCACATTTCATATGAATATCACTTAATCCAGAGCTTAATATATAGATATATTTTACTGTTTAATGAAATTAAAGTGAGATTTAATTGATTACTGAGGGGTTACCGATGAAATTGAATGAAACGTGAAAACTTAATCATAACATATTTTTGAAGCATCTAGGAAATACTGTTTAGTAGATTTACAGCAAATTAGTTTTGTTTTTTGAAATGTTACTTAACGCTAAACATGAGTTTTATAGACATTAATATTTAATGTTCAATACGACTTTATATTCTTAAGGTATAATATAAAATTGTAATTTTATTTTTTAAAATACTATGTGTTACTAATGGGCCAAATCATAAATGAATTTAATTCATAAATATGTTAATTGTGTCAAAAGGAGAAAATTATTACTTAATATAATTATATATCTAATCATTTGTTATTCATTTATAAATATATAAATTATATTCTGATTATTAATTTGAGAAATATAATATTTTCATTTAATTATAATTATTTAGATAGTCATAAAAAATTCCTATTTTTTCAAATACACTGTATATTTCAACCTTAATTTAAAATTGATAAATAAATATATGAATTTATTCCTTACAATAAAAAAGTTATTTATTATACATTCACTATAGCATACATTCATAAAATTAAA